CCATGTCTAGAGACTGAGAAACATCTAATCAAAATTGTATGTAACCAACAATTAAAAGTTTAGCATAAGGCATGAGTACAAATCTTGAAATAATTCCTCTAATCTATTCAATAAGAATCAAACTGAGAAATGTCAATTCTTTCAACTGAACTTCATTTTTTTTTTTTTTTTATTTTTTTTTTCCTATTTTAAAAAAAAAAAAAAAAAAAAAAATAATTGTTTTGGCAACCATTTTTTTATCAGAAGGGTTGGCTGAAAAGTTCCTAAGATATCTCCTCCACATACTTTTTTAGTATTAAGATGTTTGCATCAGTTCTATTTAAGATAATTAAATTTTGTAGCATTAAGTCATCATTTAATATATATATATATATACATACATGCGTGAGAGCCTGCAAAAATAGTTATTTGTGTTAATGGTCTTTTTTTTTTTTTTACAGAACTAACAGTCACCATGCAGTGTTAATATATTTATATTTAAAAATGCTTTGTCTCTGATATTTATCATTGGTCCCCCTCATAAGTATAGCAAATTTGAAACCTGTATTAATTTGGTATCTTAATGCTTTGCTGGTGGCAATATTATTAGATTTCAAATATAAATTGTAGCATTTTAAATGGACAAATATTTATGTGCAAATATTCTTTTTAAATACAGAAGAACTAAAAATGGCTTGAAAGGGCCACACATTTTACCATGTACTCTATTCCTATTACTCAGGAGTTGTTGCCAAACAGGGAAATTAACCCTTGTAACACAGATTTTGTTTTCAGTTTCATTTAAATTGTTGACTTTGCTTCCATGTACCACTTTTCCTTCGTTTCACCTTGTATTTTCAGTGAGGGTAACCTTGCAACTAGCATTGTTGATCAGCCATTTTACTGTTATCATTTGGTGTGTTTCCTGATCAGTGATATTGGGTTTTAGTCCAGAGATATGTCAGGGACATGATGGAATATTAGTAGCCACTCAGAGTTCATTTCTATTTTTGCTTGATTCCTCATATAGGAGTTTATACTATTCATCTGCAAACAGATTTGGAAAAGCTTGGTTCCCAAAGATTTTGTTCCTTGATACCCTCTACTTGGCTTCTCTTCTAACTACTCTTGTGAGTTCTTTGTATTAATGTCTATACTTTAAACTAAGTAAATAATTTTGGATCATGTCAGAATGTGAGAACTGTAACTAAGGTCTGCTCAGCAAAGTTGTAGTAGAAACCACAGGTTGGCTTTCCGGGTAATTGAAGAAACACAAATGGATCTGAGCCGACAAAGCAGATTTGCTGAAGATGAAAAACCATACAGAATTGCTCTGACGATGAGGAATGTGAAGTGAATAGGCAGGCATCAATTTGTCTGTTGCCTTCACCCAATCTTCAAATCTGCAGTGTCCATTAAAAAAAAAAAATGTTGCTAATCAATAAGTCTAAATTGGTGGCTGATTCTCTTCCATCAAAACTACTTTGCATGTGTGTAACAAGATATATATATATATATATATATATATATATACCATGTGTATATCTGGATTGTACATCAGTGGAACATGTGTTTGTGCCATTTAATCAGTATACATCAGCTCAACAGCAAGCAGCAAAATTTACCACCAACCAAATCAGCACATATGCAACAACACAAAAATCTGCCATCGCCGACCAACCAGAAATAAATACAATATGGGAACCAGTAATAAGGAGTGTCAGAGTAAAAATGATAACAACATAGTTGCAAATATAAGCTCTGGTAAAAACATGAAATGATAACAGCAAAATTTGCAATATGAGCACTAGTAAAACAGGTTGCTGAAGACATTAGGTTTATAATACCCACAAATGAGAACCCAGATGTCCTCATTTGACAGTGGATAAACACGTTGGTTAGATCCAGTGACAGGACCCAAAACTGTGAGTTCAATACCAGTTAAGGCAGTGGGTCATCAAATTGCAACAAAGATAATCTTAAGGCAAGTCTACCCCATCTAGTGAAATAAAGGGTTCATTTCGACATTCCAACCACCTGACTTCCTCAAGTGCTGCTGGTATAACAAGTTCAGCCTGTAAGTGATAAATAGCAACAAAGATGAGGACAATAGTCAATAAATAAGGTTAATAATGTTATATGGTTTTATTGAAATTTTCAAAAATTGTTTGGTTATAGGCTATTTAAATTTTTTTTTTGATCCCAAAACACTATTTTTATGTCTCCCCATCCAATTGAAATGAACATCTGCATTGCAAGGGATAATCTCTCTTTTCATCTGGCAACAAACACTGGGTAACAGAAAAAGAGTATATGTTGAAATGTGCAGCCCTTTGAAGTCATTTTTATGATTCCTGTATTTAAACTAAATATATTTTACATTGTTGATTTCATGAATATTATTCACGTGGTTTATTGATTAAAGCCCTAATTTTTTATTGGAGATCTTATAACTCAATAGCCTTTTTTCTTATCTCTTTAAGTATTAATTTATAAATCTGTTATCATTTTGTAATAGCAATCCCTATTTTTTTAATGAGTAATAATTTAAAGAAAAAAAAAAGTTAATCTACTTATGTAAGATGATTTTTGTCTGAAGGAATTTTTACATGACTTTGTTTGGATTAGTGTTATTGTCATCACATTTTGACCATTGTATTTGATTATTTAATCACTAAGGGAGAAATTGTTTTCATTCCACATTCCTTGCTAAAGATCTTGTATCAATTCTATTTTGTTAATTCATTCTTGTCATATTCTCTGGTTTAGTAGAAAACAAGTGATGTAACAAATATAAATGAACTGATACCAAGGTCTCCTCTTTAACCTGTTCAATGTAATAAGATTGATTGAATAAAGTTGTTGCTGTTTTGTTTTTTTATATACAAACTACATTAGATACCAGATTAAGTCCAAAAGAGTCAATTGACTGAAATATAGCAATAATGAAGATGAGAACATTAGTCCAAACAAATAGGTGTACAATACTTTCAACAGGTGTTGAGAGGAAATATGCTTATTTTTATTTTTTTTTATTTATTTTGTATAAACATTATTTTTTATGAATACTCTCTTCAGGCCAGTAAATGTAGTTGGATAAAAAAATATTGTTTAATTAAAAAAGAGTTTCTACTTGAATATAAATATCCATCAAAAATAACATTTAAACAAAATAAATTTAAAAAAAATAAAAATGTCAAATTTAATTCATTTCCTAAAATAAATACATTTATATATATTTTGTGTGGCTTTCAAGATTCCAATTTTAATATTATTTTTATTTTAAACTAGCTTAGAAACTGCCCTACAGGCAGACTTTAGCCTAGCACCTGCAGAGGGTTTGGGGCCTTGACAATTGCATTGTATATAAAATTTAGAAATAATTAAATTATTTTATATTTATTTGAACCTTAATTTGGCATAAGATTTCTTCAGTTTATCTAGTATTTGCTTAATCTCCAAATGTTTGCATTTATTTTGCATGCAATTTTTATTTACTTTTAAAATCACCATTCTTTAAATAAATTCACTGTTCTAACAAGGACCCAAACTAAAATATTTTGAATATTTGATCATGTGAACGTGCTTTTTTTTCTTTTCTTTTTTTTTTTTTTTTAAATTTAAGTTTAAATACACAGTTTAATTAGATGATATCAATTGCAATTAAGACAAAAAGTGAAATTAAAGTCAAGCCTTTAATAAAGAATGTTTTTTTTTTTAAACCTTCCACTCTGTTCAGTATTTAACTTTAAATGAGTTATCTAATTTTTTAATCAAGTGCAACTATAGTTATTACCTGTTATTTCAGGTTGTTTATGATTCACTCAGATCAAAAAACCAATGGACACTCATACACTGCACTTAATTTATATAGATTTGCTTTGCATTTTTTTTTATGAAGCAACAAAGACTTCTTAGCTGAAGTAACACACTGTGTATAATTTTAAGTTATGGTTTAAGTCAATTGTACTTTCATATAATGCTGGCCAGAGTGTAAGAAAGAATAAAAGCAATTTCATGGTGTTTCATAAAGATTTCCAAGTGATTAAGCAATGTGTGCCAATCAAAATTATTTGAAAATGAGATTTTAAAAACAAAGAATTTTAATGATTTATTTTTTTTTAGAAATTCTTGCTTATTAAAATCTTATATATACACGAATAAACTTTTCTCACACATTTGCAAAATGGAAAAAACCTTAAATTTATTAATGAAAAGCTTTTAATAAAGAAACAAGTTAAACTCATTAGTATTTTTTTTCTTATAAATATTAAAAAAAATAGTTAATCATTAAAAAAAACATAGGACTTATCTTTGACTTTCAATTTTCTCAGGTACATTGGTCTTCAGATTAAGATAAATTAAAAAAATATATAAGCCCCTGGCAATACTTGTTACAATATATAGTTTGGAAAATCAGCAACTTCTAAAAAGTTGTAGATTTCTTTAGTTAATCATATGGCTTCTGTTAACATTGTGTATTGAAGTACAGTGCTAACCCACTTGCAGTCACTTCCAGGCTGTAAGTGTGTAAAACTTGCATTTGAGCACTTCCAGCCTAATGGGTTAAGTTGAGAATCATAGGTATGTTTCTTCCTATCTGCTCAATTTATTAAGTTGATACTTTGTTTTTACTCAAGTGCATAAGCATAGTCAAATCAAAATTATTTGGTTGGCAATGTTATTTTATTTCTTTTAATTCAAAGAAACATATTTGACCAAATGGAGATTAGGTATCTTGTGCTGTGTCAGTTTTTCAAGTAGGAAATGACTGCCTTGAAAATGAACATTTGAAATCTCGTTATTTTTTATTTATAATTACCTGGGCTTAAACACTACTTGTAACACTGAAACCAATAGTGTGTGTATATGTGTGTATACACACACACACACACAATTATAAGTCCTCTCTCTCATATATATTTTTGCTGATGACTAAAAATTCTCTCTCTCTGCAGCTCTATTTTTTTAATTTTTTTTCCAAGAATGTAGTGTTTTAATTAACCATACTTGCTCTACAGAAACAAATTCCTTCAGTAACACCCCCTGGTATGCCAGGCAACGATCTCACCAAGGAGCATGGTTCTGACCAAAAACAACCCGAGACGACCAATGGAGAAGATAATTTAAAATCTTCAGCAGAAACAATTGAAACACGAGATGAATTGGCAGCAGAAGATGATGCTGAAATGCCTGACATTTTCTCTACTGACTATTCTGCAGATGAAGCTCTTTATGGTATGTGCGGTTTAATGTTTATAATGTTTAACTTTTAGCACTCTGTAATTGACTTTGTTCTTAGGCTTAAGATTTTGTGCCACTACTGCAGGTCACTCTGTTCTAATATCTTATTGGTTGTGTTGTGATGACATTGGAAATTGACAATGAAACCTGAAAAAAAAGAAAAAATTGCAGTGAAAGAGGAAGTAATCCTAGTGAATAATGTAGAGTACTAAATGCTAACCTAGCATGACAGCAAAGCCAGAGGCATGGAGTTTTCATATTAAGTCGTAAATAATTTCTGCTTTGGGGAACCAGTTGTAACGACAACTGTATCATCTTAACCATGAATTGTACAATGCAGTTAAGAATTAATTTGGAGTACATGAACATACTTTAGATTTTGCACAAGAGTGGCAATGTAAAGTGTACATTAAAGGATGAATTTCTCAACTGCATTAATGGAAACATTGAAAGTACATTTACACCGCATAATGTTATGCAAAGTTCTATTCTGTAGAAACATCTGCAGAAGATGAACCTAGACAAGGGCATTCATTGAACTTTGATGACAAAGCTCTAAAATCATTAGTGGAAAGCAATCCATGGCTGCAAAAAAAGTCAGCAAGCTGTGTGTTTGGGTTCCACACACGCTTACAAAAGGCGTAAAGTGGATAATTGATAAGCAAAAATGAAAATTATTTATGACCCAGTTTAATGGTTTTATCTACTTTAAAACTTGTATTTGATTGTTTTTATTATTATTATTTAGCTGGCCCTGATTGTGGTGGGAACATGTTTCTTATTATAACATTAAAAGGTACACTTGGGTCAACACCAAGTGACAAGTCTATGCTTAAATGCAATATTCAGTCATGGCCTGATGATTGCATTTACTCTATTCTGGATTTTGAACACTTTTACCTATAAATATAACACATCTTAAAACTAACTGTATACAGGTTGACTTACAATCATGATTGGTTACAACTGACAGGTCATAAGATGATCTGGTTACAAGTTGGCCAGTAATTAATTTTGCATTCTTTTTATCTTTAGGCATTATTGGATTTTTTTAATAATTTTTACAGTTTCTTTACATTTTATATTATTTGTATCATCTCTCTCTCTACACAGTTTTGTTTGTTTGTCTAGTTTAAGTAAAACACTGCACACTACAAGTGGTTTAAATATTGGCTCAACATACGAAAAACAAAATATAGGCACAAAAAACAGGAAACATTTTAGTTGCAAAAAATACCAAAATGTATACAAATGCAAAGCATCCTATTAGCTGCTGGTGCTTGGTTGTGGATTGTCGATATTGTCGTGTGGTAAGGCTCAGGGTGGCTGGTGGATTTGTTTTTCATAAACATAATCTGACTTTGTCTCATAAATTTCATGATATGGATGAAACACTTCATGTTCCATCTGTTCAATCCTTGCAAATTGCTTAATATTTGGGTCCATTCCTTCAAAATGTGAAATGAGTTATTTTTTTTTTCAGTAGAGATAAACCTCCTGATAATCAAAGGCACAAATGGACTCTGGAGAAAGTGTGTTGTACTGAGGATACCCTAACACTGAGCTTGACACACAATGGATACTAGTGCTGCTGGGGGCGGAAGAGCAGTCTTGGCCAGATGGCCAGGCATACCAATTTGCGGTTGTAGCACGTGTGTGTGTGTGTATATATATATATATATATGCACGTGTGTGTGTGCGCACACACACATGCACTCTTATATGCTTTCAGGCAGTTTCCATCCTAGTTTTGCAAAGTCCAGTAATTTAACAGTGCCTCAATTCTGCCAGTCATCAGATCTCTTCCATCCTATATTTTTGGTATAGGATCTTGTCTATGACTAGACCACCTCACTATGTCCCATAAGTATTTGATTGGTTTCCTAGTCAAGCAAACATGATGGTTGCACCATTGATTGGATGTCTATAGAAAGCTCCTCAAGCCAATTTGAGTAACTAGAGTCTAATAGCATATTGCTTTAACCTGCTGGAAGTATCCATTGTTGGGATATCTGGAGTTCATGAATAGATGAAAATTGTTATGATGCAGTACAACATAGGAGCCATTGGTTAATGACATATTTAGACAGTTTTGTAATTGTAACCAGCTTCAATGGTGCTACATTGAACTTTAGTTCATGGGGCCTAAAACCATACCATCAGCATGAAATAATTGAAACCATAACTTCAGAACCATACTACTACAGGTTGCCAGTCCTCTTTCACTCCATTATTATGTCAGAAGCCCAAGTGAGTTGCTATATCAAGTATCATAGTGTTAATGGGCATTCTGCTGGGTTTTCTGATCCCATATCCCAAAGGAACTAAAAAAAATTGACATGTTCAACACTTCTTCTATTGAATGTGGATGGGATTTGAACCCACATTACTGCAGACAATTTTAACCAGAAGCCTCTGATAATAATCCTGGAGAACCTGTTGTTGGCTACTTCACTATCAACAGTGGTCTCTCATACCCTTCAGGCACATGTGGTACCATAGATTAAGGGATGTCAAATATCTCATCCATCTGACATCTACTATCCTACTCCATTCAAAATCTAATAATTCATATTATCTCATTGAATCACCAGATGTTGGATCACAACTGATATATGAATGGGGATTTCTATGTGAATGTATGGTGGTACCATCTACCATTAATTTTATGTGTGATCCCATGATGTTTAGTACTTCAATGTAGATATTAACTAAGCTTGTACACATTTTGAAGAAACTTTTTTTTTTTTTTGTAATTTTGTTATTCTACTTAAACTCTTGCATCAATGAAGTAGTACTTTAACAGGCAACTGTTCAATATAAAAAAAAAATTTATTTTAACATATATGTATATAAATGTAAGTGGTGACTCTAGATCATTGTTGTTTGTTGGGCTCATAACAATCTTTAACAAAATATACTATTGGTATAACTTAGAAGCTAAAATGATTCCTTTACTCTAACTAAAATATATAATTTTTAAAGTTTTCTGTGAATGAAATTAAAAAATACATTTTGGTATTTTAATATTGTAATAATTCTATAAAAATAAACATTTATTTTAAAAAATATAAAATATGTGTATCTATCTCAGGTGTGTGTTTGTATATATGTCTGTGTTAGTGTGTATCACTGTCTATGGATTTTTAGTTTAATTTATTGTTCATTTATGATCAGTACTACTGACTGATATCACATTTTCTCAACATTACCCCAGTCATATTCCTCACCCCAACCCTCTAGTGACAGTTAAGCTATACCCCAGTCATATTCCTCACCCCAACCCTCTAGTGACAGTTAAGGCTACCACTTTCTTTGAGTTTTCAACAACTTTAAGTTGAGTCAAATTTAATTTGCCCTTTTTCAATTGATGCATTCTGCTAAAAAACTTATACAGAATAAATTATTTAAAATGGACATTTGAAAACAATAAGTTGAAATAAAATGTGTTCTTTGAAAAATGGGCTTACAAGTCATTTGAGATTTTTAAAAGATTGTTTATAAAATTAAAGCAAGAAATACATGCTTGAAAGGGCTCAGATCTCTTCAGCCGACTTGTCACGTTAATTTTATTTCATTCTTTTTTTCACTTTCTTGCTTTTGTTTTTTTTTTTGTTTTTTTCTTTCTTTTTTATTATGAACAATATCAACAAAATATATTTTGGTCAATATTTTATGGCAAGGAGTTAAAACAATTTTGGATCCAGCTGAAGTCAAGAATGAAAATGATGCACTACTGAAATAGATATACTTGAATGTTGACTTACTTGGGCTGAGCCCAACAAGCCCTGCCCTTGGAGTTGCCACTAAGATATATATATATATATATATATATAGTCCCTGGATAGCAAGGAAATAAAATTCTATAATACTCTCCTTTCAGCTTTTATTTTTGGATCACCTCTCATCAAAATTTAAATTGTACAAATCATAGTTTACCTGTCTGGATTTCTGGGATAATGAGTTATCTTTATTTACATTTTGACTATTGTCTTCATCTTTATCATGTTTTGACTGCTGTACCTTCTGGCATTCTTCAGGTGTTTGCCAATCCAGGTAACCTTTTGGGAATTTCTAACTGAACACTCTATTTAATCTACTGACATTTTTCTTTGTTTCTAATGAATTTTCTTGTTTCTCAATATTTTGTTTAGCCTTTTGGAAGGTACCTTTTGTTATTTCAATGTACTTTTTGGATTTCAGTATAGAATTAGATGACAAACATCATTGTAGATTATAATAACAAAAGTCTGTTTCTGCTTCCTATTTAGTTTCAGAGAGTAAGAATGACAAATCCTCAGAACTGTTTTCACACAGCCTTGCTGTTGGTTTGGGAGTCAGTAGCAGTAACATGCAAACGATGAAAGCCTCGTTATTTTTAACAGAAACAGGTAAGTTAACACTTGAACTATTTTTTGTTTTGTTAGCTTTCAGAATCTCAACCCTAATTCATCACTTTGATGTGAACAAGAATAGATGTTCGATGTGGGGTCGTGTGTCCAGTCAATGAAAAACTCTGAGAGATCCATTGTATGTTTACAATGATTTATTATTCACTCTTTAACATTTGTAATTGAAAAAAAAGTCAAGAAAAAATTTATCAAATGAATTTTATTAACAATTTTATTGGTTCTTAATTCAAGTTTTCTTTCAATTGTATTTTTATTCATTACTTCTTAATGTTTGCATAATTTGGGCCATTTATTGGTATTCAATTCTGTTAACAAATGCTGATGGTCAAAGCATACAGACCCAGTCAACTTGAAATATTGGTACAATACAATCTTTTAACCTTATTAGTGTCTGTATTAAGCCTTGATTAAATATTGTTTTTTCCCTTACTGATTATCATTAAATATTTGTGTATTTATTGCTACAAGATTGCAAACATTAGTGAAACCAATTTTGCAGTAGCTCCACCTAAGCTATATGTATATGGGCTTACATAGTGAGAGTTGTATATCACTTGCTATCACCATTGGTTGGTATTCAATTCTTGATAAAAAAGGATTGCTGATTGTCAAGGCATGCAAACTCGGACAACTTGAAAGACTGGTATGATCCAATCTTTCAACTGTCATTTTTCTTTATTTGGTCCTGTACTAGTGTAAGTTATACTTGGTGGGAGAGGGGGAAAAAATATATATAATGTCGATGCAGCATCCTGTGGGGAAAAAGTGTTAGAACGAAGGAGCTGGCACCTGTCCTGCTTCTCATTTATACAAAGGTTTGAGCAAAGTCTACAAACATTCAATTGGATCAGCTGTGTGCAAATATTAAAGCAATTTGACAGAATGCCACTCCTCTCAATGGTAGCCTTACCTGCCACTGTTGCTTTGTTGCATGCAGTAAAGTAGGTCTTGCTTTTCACTTGTGGAAACATGTGGTAATCGATCCTCAACCACAATTGGTCTAGCACATGTTCCATCTGTCTAAAACTTTGCAAAACACCTGCAGATCTTAAGAGACACTTGCATATCCATAGAAGTTGAGCATCTCTTTATTTTATTGAGCCCTCATTTGTTGTTTGTGACAGTATTAAGTCATGCTGAAGAAAAGATGTTCCTAATTTTCCTTGCTTAATGCAGATGAGCCACTGGGAAAAGATGTTGAAGATAGAATGGAAACCAGCCATAATGAAGGCCACATGCTAAAACTTTTGAACAAGACTGCTCGTAAAAGTTCACTGTCCATATCTGGAAAATCTGTGAAGCATTGCAGACTGACAAAAGATGTTTCACTCGGTAAGATATTTGTTTCTCTCTTCATTCTGCACTGTAGTTTATAAACCTCATCATATTTTGCTGAGTATTCTTAACAGATGGCAACAAATTCCATATGGAACATTTTGTGATGGGAATATATTTATCAGGTGACTTTTGCTATTTCGTAATGTTTTATTGATATTAGTTCAGTATCTTTTGCTTTGTTGATGGTAAGGTAATAAAATTTAAAATAAACATTTTTGGCATATTTAAAATATTATATTTATTAGAAAACATTAAGTTTGAATACAGCAGAAATCACAAATGATTTCAAAGGGCCACATGTTTCAGTTTATGCTCTTTTCCTTTTACTTGGATTCTTGCCAGACAGGAAAGGAAATTAGCCCTCACAAAACAGATATCCATCTCATTCAAATTGTGTCTATGTACGTTTGAATGTGTGTATGTGTATTTAATTCAATGACAAACCTAAAATATTTCTACAAAAGTTTTTAAATAAGCTTTAAAGTATAATTCTATTTAATACTAAATAATTTCCAAAAAATTTTTTATTTTTAATGTTTAAAAAAGTAATTGTAACCAACTTTGATTTCATTGTTCAGCTCAGGACAGGAGTTGTCCAGACTGAGTTTGAGGAGAAATGTATTATTCCAATATCTTATTTCAAACTCACCCAGATTTTGTGCACAAAGCACATTGTCACTCACGCACAACACAAACAAATGCATATACATTACATACGCTCATGCAAAGTCACATGTAAACCGTGTATGAAGGATATAGAATCAGCTCTTTTATCGTATTGTGACACTATTTAGCTATGGTAATTGGCTGGCTAATTAACCATAGAAATTTAAAACGGGAAATACTTAAGGCGAGAAAAAGCTATACCGAAAGATAGACTGAGTGACATTAAAAAGAAGAATTTATTTACAAAAGAAAGATACTTTTCGCAAAAGGCAGAAAATCCATAAGAAAAAGTGAGACTGTGATTCTGTCAAAATTAATTGATGTCACGATAAGGGAGTGACACGCCAATATAAACAGAATTCAGATAGAAAAACAAAGCCGGCCGACACATGTGGCCATGGAGGAAATTTGGCTTGGGACCACCCTGGAGAATAGTATTAATTATCTTTCAGAGATATCATTTAACTTTAATTCCTGATTCCAGTGAGGGAAGCCATCTGGTATATGCACCAATCTTGACATGAAAAAAGAGTCGAAAAGGGGATCATTATTATTGCTTATTCAAACTGCTGACGTAGCGTCTCGAAAATGAGCATCTGGTGATAAGAGAATTTTAAGGCATGAGAAAAATAAAAGAATTTAATTATCAGGTAAACACGACCACCCAGTTAAAAGTGGATCTGAGTGTTCCCAAAATCAAGATGTGATAAGAATTATTCGGTAATCTGGGATTTGTAAATGTTTTGGCCAAAGAAAAAAAAAAAAAAAAAAAAAAAAGAGGATTTTGTAAACCAAATTTTCGATGATAATTCTAAGAGGGCCAATCTAGCCAAACCCACACTGCCGAGAGATCATTGGCCAACTGGTAGCATGGGTGATAGGCAGAGGTGAATGTATGAGAAAGACGGAGAAGTTGTTAACAGCCACTGAGGGGATTGGTATGAAATACCAATGTGAGAGAGGAAGAGTCTACGAGGATAACTCTCCTCCGACCTTCCCTCATGGACAAGGGAGAAACCCCCGAAATGGAAAGTGATCAATCTTCCAAAAATGGGAAGTAATTAATTTTCCTGGCCTAAGAACAAAAAGAATTCTTGTTGGGAATTGAGAATTGTCAAAGAACCCAAACCACATCAGGCTCCCACACAGAGTTTGGGTCGGTGTCCATATAAATGAACGTCTCGAAGTAGCTAGTCAGTTTTCAGGAGAGTTTCAGAGATTCGCTGTTCCAGACAGTTTGAGTTTCTAGTTGGTTCGAGAAGGTGGAGACCAGTCTCACAGAAGCTAACCGAGAGATTTCCACATCCTTTTTGACTTGGTTTTTCTACCAAAAGCAAGTTTTTATTGACGAACGACTTAAGATACCATAACTCGCTTAAGAAATGCAAAAAGTGTCACGAATCCATAGAACAGGCTGGGAGAGAAACATACTCCTGTATTCAACAGATAGATAAAGAAAATTATTTCTCAACATATTTGAACCTCTTGAATTTGTTTTATTTCTTTTACTTACGCTTGTGCAGCATCACATTTACCCCAGATTCAGCTTGCTCTACGGCTCGACGCCTGATTGATTTCGTCTACCTAAGATCAAAGTCACAGCGTGGGTAGGTTAGAGTTGAGATCAAAGCAGTTACTTTGATGACCAAGCGTTGGAGGCAAGCTGAGAACGACAGCTGGTATCAAACCGGAAATGACCAGATTGACCGGGACACAGGCTGGTGGCAGCGACAAGGAGTCAACCCCAAAACGTTGGTGGATGAAACCTTACAGCTTCGCACTGCAACTGGAAGTTGACAACAGGCCAATGACGCAGTGTCATATATTGACATCGCGACCAGTGTATATCACATATTGGTGCTGGACAGCGACCGCGACCACCGGTGGGTGTCACAGTATAGATTTAACAAAAGGAAAGAATTGTCGAATTTGGGGAAATGGTTCAACATTAAAGATTTTGTTGACTACCAAGAGCAATTCTTTAGTTAGTTCCAATCTCATTACTATCTCACCAATATAAATTTGAGCCAGACTAAGCTTAGTAAATAACATAAGCTTTGTTTTTGATGGTTTTCAGTTTCTCTCGGTACTGACTTATAAAATGGTTGATGCTGATATGAGAGATTGGTCGCTAAAAATAATAAAAGTTGCAGAAAAACAAAAACCCTTCTACCATTTAAACAAATTTATATTTTAAAATGTTAATTGCAATACATTGAAATAAGACCCAAAGTATCATCTGTCCTTTGACAAACTATGAAATAGTTTTTTTTATCTGCATCTTTTTGTGTTGTAAGTTTACCTTTTGTGTATGTGAATTTTTGATAACCCAAGATTAACATTGAAAATATGTGTTAGCAGTAGTAGTTGTAATACAACAATAGGTAAACTCAGCTGGTGAGAATACAAGTTCGGTAGTTATTTTAGAGCCTGCTGATAATAAAAATGAGAGGGGGATAAAATATTTAGTGAAATTGTTTACCACTATGTTGAGTAAGTTGCAAAACATACAGAATTTTTACTGAAGACTGGATAAATAAGATTAGTTATTGAAATTTATAGAAAATAATCAGCTTGGATCAGGGTCTAAAAATTAGATTTATTTTTCTAATTCGACATTGGTTAAAAAATGTTATGTTATTTTTTTTATTATTCAATAATTTAAGAGGGAAAGGTATTAAGATTTGCAGTGATTTGATCCATCAATTTATCTAAAGATCTGCAAGTGATAGAAAATATAGCATCCTTTTTCACTGGCTCATTTGTCAAAAGAAAAAAAAAATAGAAATGTGCCGAATTTTTTAAAGTCTCAATTCGGACAAAAATGACAACTCTTTATCTCTCAGAAAAAAAACAGTTTGTCATATTACTATTAATTTTAGTTATAAGTAATTTCTGTTTTTGGCAAATGTATCATCCCAACTACTAATCATACATAGCAGTTAAGAATAAATTTTTGAGGATACTAACATACCTTGCTTTTCACATAGCAGTGGCAATATACTCAGTGGATTAAAGAATAAATTTTTTAACTCCACTAATGGAGGAAGTGAAAATGCATTAATGTCACATAATGTTATGGAAATAATACTGTATAGACATCTAGAAAAAAAGAGTCCTGGGTATAACAATAAACTACATCTGGCAGCAAGGCCTCTATTTGGAAGATTGAAGGTTTTGAGGAGCATCGAACCACCTCTTCATTGCAGTTGTTCTCAGGTTCACCATGACCCAGGGTGGTAGCACCAGTTAGAGTCCCAGATATGGGCAAATAGTGAACCTCCTAAACAAAGTTAAGTGCACTGGGAGAGTGTAAAAATAAATTTATATAGTAAAAATACCAATGATATATTTTTGTAGTGAAATTCCCAGCAATACATTTTATAATAAAATGAAAGAAAAAAAGACTAAGAATTTGAACCAGCTTGAATTTATAAAATAGGAAGTCTCGGGCGAATGAGAATTAAGTCTCATATGCAAATTTTAGTTGCCTCCAATGCAGGTATAAATAGCGAGTCTGTGAGGAAGACAGCAGAACTTTTGTTGGCGTGACAGCGTATTTACGTACTGACGAGAATGAGAGAATAAGGAAGAGGTCACTCATAACAGCTCATTTGGTAGAGCAGTGGACTGGAGAAGAAAGCAAGCACTTTAATCCATTTCAGTTATCGCAAACGATTGGCGAACTGTATTCATGTGGGTAATTACCCACTGTCAAGCATGAGAGCAACTGGCAGATTAGGTTTAAGGCTCTAAGTTCTAAACTCAAGATTAATCCATAAGGCTGTTTGTTTATGAATTTGGTAACAAATTGCAAGTTCAACCCCTGAATCGGGTAGTGGAAACAGCACCATCAATAACTGAGTAATACTAAAAAAAAAAAAAAAAAAAAAAAATGAAATATTCCAAGACCTGACAAGAAGATAATCCAAATGTCTATGTTCATCTTCTAGTGATATTTCTCCAGAATTGATCTTTGCAAGCCAATTTCATACTTGCCAGTCAGTTATGACTCCTTAATCATAAATACTACATATTTTTTCTAGATGTTGCTTGGTTGTTTTTGTTTAGTGACATATCAATGTCTATGGGTTATTTAATGCCAAAATGTAAATATTTTGTATGCAATTTTATGGCATCACCTACATATATTTTGGAAGCAATTTTATGCCTTCAACTACAGATATTTTGTACATAATTTTATACTTTCAGGGTAAAGTTAGGTTTTTTAGATATATAGTTTGAAGATAAAATGTATTGTTGGTAATTTTGCTAAAAAAACATTTTTATACTTAGTGTTGTATTGTTGGTCATTTTATTGTACACGAGATAAGAATTTCAGAATAATCCATTTCACTTTTAATGGCGGTTGCAATCTTTCAACAGGACTTGACACGCCAAGCAAATTCACTTTGCAGGAGGTAAGTCTTCTCGTTCCTCACAATTTACTGTGGTTTTTTTTTATTACTGCTGCTGTTGTGGCTTTGCTGTCATATCTCTTTATTAATGGCTTGTATTTTGTATTTATTTCTATGCTAAGCCTGCTGAAGAGGTTCATATAGCTAAGCATATGTGCTGATTCATTCAGATGGATGACTCTCTAGTATTCTTTATTATTTTTACTTCCAACCACAGGGGTTGGTGATTATATTTTCTTCTTCATGCATGATCAGCCATGCCTGATTTCATTGTCTCTCCTCTAACTTGTTATTCATGGACAATACTTATACTGAGATTAGCCATTTCCATGCAGGAAAGATTTAGCCTTTATTGAATGAAAAGTTACTGTTAGTGTTGGTTGAAATTTATAAAAACTTTCTCTTGAAATACTTTTTCAGGAAAATAGATTTCACAAGTCCACTCTTGTTGCTTTTTCTAGTATTGATGGGAGTTTCTTTTCTAAACTTTTGTTTAAAGTAGTGTAGAAAGTCAATATTTTGATAATAGCATTATCATTAGGCTACCAAAAGTATTATTACTTGGGACTTTCATCCATAACCATTATATTCTATACTGCATTATTGGTTACTTCATAGTTTTCTTTCAGATATTCTGAAAGGTGAATTTTAATTGTCTGGTACATTTTGTTCAAATTTCTGTAGTTTAATAATGCTGAGATTAAAAAAAAAAAATGATAAAAAAAACGAAATGAAGAAACTAATTAAAACTAAAATGTGTGATAATGAAAGAAGTTATTTGTTTTTCCCCCACAGGTATACATAAAAGTCCGTTGCCAAGACCTCAGTCAGATGTGATACAAATTTTACGATTTCAACCTGTTAATACATACCCTAAGGTTGTTGGAATGCGTATTAAACAACCTATTCCAGTCATAAAGGAATCTTGTATGTACAAAATGAGATCTCTTGTAGATGCCTCATTTTTCATGGGTCACTCATTCCGTGTGGGATGGGGACCTACCTGGACTTTTGTGCACAGTGGAATGCCTGTTGGAAATGCAACAGGTAAGCTATATATTATGATACTAACTTTTAAAACTATTTGCATTGTGTTATTTTAAATGTTCTTATGAGATGTTGTTGACCCATAAGTGATATCCCAAGCTTATACATTATCAGAAGACTTTTGTTGTTTACCCATAAGTGACATCCCAGTCTTATACATTATCAGAAGACTTTTGTTGTTGACATTATCAGAAGACCCAGCTTATGACATCCCAAGATATCCTTATACATTATCAGAAGACTTTTGTTGTTGACCCATAAGTGACATCCCAAGCTTATACATTATCAGAAGACTTTTGTTGTTGACCCATAAGTGATATCCCAAGCTTATACATTATCAGAAGACTTTTGTTGTTGACCCATAAGTGATATCCCAAGCTTATACATTATCAGAAGACTTTTGTTGTTGACCCATAAGTGATATCCCAAGCTTATACATTATCAGAAGACTTTTGTTGTTGACCCATAAGTGATATCCCAAGCTTATACATTATCAGAAGACTTTTGTTGTTGACCCATAAGTGATATCCCAAGCTTATACATTATCAGAAGACTTTTTGTTGTTGACCCATAAGTGATATCCCATGCTTATACATTATCAGAAGACTTTTGTTGTTGACCCATAAGTGATATCCCAAGCTTATACATTATCAGAAGACTTTTGTTGTTGACCCATAAGTGATATCCCAAGCTTATACATTATCAGAAGACTTTTGTTGTTGACCCATAAGTGATATCCCAAGCTTATACATTATCAGAAGACTTTTGTTGTTGACCCATAAGTGATATCCCAAGCTTATACATTATCAGAAGACTTTTGTTGTTGACCCATAAGTGATATCCCAAGCTTATACATTATCAGAAGACTTTTAAACAGGTTTCAATTCTGACTGAACTATATGTTAGGGAAATGGTAAACTCCAAGAAGTTGGAAAATCTCAATTTACTTGAATATGTTTACTGCTACCTTGGTTATTTGAATCCTTACTAATGCCAACTATGGTTTTGTTACTATTAGAAATTGTTATATAAGAATCTTCTATGTGCCATGCCCTTCAGAATGTGGGTGGTCATGACTCTTCACAACTTCCGATCCTTTGTAGCTCTTAGCAGTGTTTGACTTTTACTATCCCTCCCACTCCTTGTTCTGCCATCCATTTATATAAGCTTCTTAGATTACTTATTCCTCTCTTCATTATATTCAGTTAATGTTAAATTTTTTAAGCCTTCTTTCTTAATTATGTATCCTAAAATGTTTGACTATTTTCATTCTGTTTTATTTTGGTCAATTAAATTTTGGAAAGTTAAGATTCATTTGCATAATAATTATTATAAAAAAAAATGTAAAAAAACTCATTACAGGAAAGATATAAATTGTATTATCTTTCATTTAATTTTTATCTTTTTTTTTTTTTAGTATTTTTAATAGTGTTTCTTCATTTATATGAAAAATAATGTTTAATATTACTGGATCCTTTGAGATGTTACTACAGACAAAAATCCTATTATGATGATTTTTTAATACATTTTTTACATTTCAGATCCTGCGCAAGAAAAATTTTCAATCCTAACTGGTATGGAAAAAAAAGTTTCAGTTAATACTGATTGGAAAGTAAACTTAGAAAAGTTAAATGTGTCAGAATTTTTGACAAGTAAAAATCCTGTTGTTATAGTAAGTTGATTTATTTTTAATCAAATCCTTTTATATTATATATATATATATATATATATATATATATATAAACTAGTTCACCCAATACAAAACTCAAGAGCCACTTAAGGAAGAGGGTTACTGAATGAGGTGTGGGAAATAAAGCATGCCATGTTCTGCAAGGGTGGGCTGAAAAGTTCACAGGCTATCTATAAAAGAGTGATATTAGAACTGTGAAATCTTGCATGCATTAATTTCAACTCTTATTAATGGTTTCTTTCTAGGTAAACTGACATTTGACTGTTCAAAGAAGACTACAAAAGTAAATAGTAGTGACATCTCTTGAAAATGGACAAAATTTGGCAGTGTGGTGTTATGAAGTACCTGCAGAAAAGGGGTTTAGCTCCAAGGACATTCATACTGACATGGTTGCTACATTAGAGGATGACATTGTCAGTGATGCTTGTAAATTAATTTGAGACTTTATTGTTGTCTGTTAGGATATGGTATATATGAGGTGAGGTGGTCTCTATGGATTTCATTATGAACAAGATTATTCAGTCCGCACTTTTGGTTCAGATCTGGGCAGAAAGGGTTGTGAGTGTCAAGCCAGATTTGCCAAAATCCTAAAGTATAATGGTACTTTTAGGAAAGCTAAATTTTCTTGTAAAAAATGTTTTTTCATTCAAAGTTTCTATCAAGTATTTAAATGCAGCCTAATAGGATGCCTTACTTATACCATTTTCTTTGGGCATAATCTTCTATCTACTACATTTCCTTGTGGATAACCTTACATCTTTCAATTCTCCTCGGCGGGTAACCTTACACCTTTGAATTCTCCTCGGCGGGTAACCTTACACCTTTGAATTCTCCTCGGCGGGTAACCTTACACCTTTGAATTCTCCTCATGGTAACCTTACACCTTTGAATTCTCCTCGGCGGGTAACCTTACACCTTTGAATTCTCCTCGGCGGGTAACCTTACACCTTTGAATTCTCCTCGGCGGGTAACCTTACACCTTTGAATTCTCCTCGGCGGGTAACCTTACACCTTTGGGTCTCCTCTCGTGGGGTAACCTTACACCTTTGAATTCTCCTCGGCGGGTAACCTTACACCTTTAATTCTCCTCGTGGGTAACCTTAACCTTTGAATTCTCTCCTTTACACCTTTGAATTCTCCTCGGCGGGTAACCTTACACCTTTGAATTCTCTCGTGGGTAACCTTACACCTTTTAGATTCTCTCGGGGTAACCTTACACCTTTGGGTGAACCTTACACCTTTAGTTCTCGGCGGGTAACCTTACACCTTTGAATTCTCCTGTAGATGACCTTATTCTTTGAATTCTCTCATGGGTAACCTTACACCTTTGAATTCTCCTCATGGTAACCTTACACCTTTGAATTCTCCTGGGCGGGTAACCCACACGGCGGGTAACCTTACACCTTTGAATTCCTCGTGGTAACCTTACCTTTGAATTCTCCTGGTAACCTTACACTTTGAATTCTTTGAATTCTCCTCGGCGGGTAACCTTACACCTTTGAATTCTCCTCGGCGGGTAACCTTACACCTATCATTGTTGATGGACCATTTTACCATTATCATTTGATGTTTCCTTTCAGAGATACTTGGTGTTAGTAAGTGTACAGATATATCAGGGACTTTTATGTTGAAATATGAGTAGCCACCTATTGATAATCGGCTAGTGAAATAAAGTGTTAGTAATTGTGAGTTGAATCTCTGAGCCGGTTGTGTCTACTTGGACTCAATGGAAACAGGGTGAACAATAATTTGGCAGTACTAAGTAAGAACTAGACAAGATATCCATAGATATGTTCAGTAGAGCAGTTTACTTTCATATGATTAAATAAAGAATTCACTTCTAAGTTTCCTGAAGTGCAGAGTGCACAACAACCAAAACATGATAACAAGAAAAATGAGGACAATAGTCCACATGTAAATAATGCTAACTTCTCATCTCAAAAATTCAGTAATTAAAATAAGCTCACCAAAAGGACACTCCTTTTAACCTTTAGCACTTTGCATTATTAATATTACTTCCCTTACTATTGCATTCTTTTTCAAGACTCTCAATTGCAGTAGCCATATTGCTATTTTCACTCAAAGGTGCTATTTTGTTGCCATAGCAGGATATGACAACACAACTATGAAATTCAAACAAATTCAAATTCAGGAATCAGTCACCTTCAGTGGCAGGGTAAACTTTTTGTACAGCAAATGTTGTCACATGCAGAGTTATATCATTTAATCTAAAACATAAAAAAAATATTAACAATAATAAATGAAATATTTTAAATAATAACATAATAAAAAGAATAAGTGAATAGATAAATAATCATCACTTATTTTTCTTTTATAAGCCATTACTTTCTTCAAGCAATGAGAAAGTCATCCATTCCCAACATTTTAAGTTTTATTTAAAGAGCTGTATTTGTTTAAAGTCCACTTAAGTCTTACAATGATATTTTGTGGTGGCTATATTTGGTGATGTGGTGACAGCCATCATACACTCACACATTTCATCAAGGTGTTAATTTTTTTTTTTTTTTTTTTTTTAAGAACCAACACAAGTGGATGCTAGAAAATCAGCTTGATCATTCTTCTTGTGTAACGGAAAATGAATGTCCATATTTTTCTCCAGTCAGTGGAACTGAATCTTTGAATATATATGCAGCCATGGCTGAACAGGATGAAGAGAACATGAGTAAGTTATTAAAAATATTATATGGCAAAAGGTTTAAAATTATTTATTGTATTGCTCTCATTACTTACAATTCTTTAAATATTTTTTGTTCATGTCTAGGTTCACTCCCAGATTACGAACAAGTTCATCATATGAGAAGATGCTGGGACATTTGTGTAGCACTTTGGGGAAATCCAATTGAATTCCCTAGCCAAGGTTTGTTTGCTTTCTTTTTCTCTGTATTTTTTTTTTTTTTTTAATTTGCTGCTTAATCCTAAGAATCTTCAAACTGTCACACATTTCCTGTAGAAAAAAAATGTTTTTGTAGTGTAGAATAGTATTTTGAGTGTATTTGACTATTTCTTTAATAGGTTGCTACTGATTTCAATACAAATGATTCTTCAATGGGGTAATGAGTTTAGTTTGGACCTGGGCAGAAAGGATTATTGGTGTAGGCTGGAGATAATTATTTATCTATGTTGCTTGCTCAAGCAGGTGGGGTGAACAAATCTTGTAAGCAATTCATTGAACAACAGTTAGATATTTAGTATTAGCCAGATATGTTTCAAGGATTTTTATATTGGAATATGAGTGGCCATCCTGTATATTCTTTTTATTGAATGTCTTGGGATTCTTTTTATTGAATGTCTTGGGATTCTTTTTATTGAATGTCTTGGGATTCTTTTTTATTGAATGTCTTGGGATTCTTTTTTTGAATGTCTTGGGATTCTTTTTTTATTGAATGTCTTGGGATTCTTTTTTATTGAATGTCTTGGGATTCTTTTTATTGAATGTCTTGGGATTCTTTTTATTGAATGTCTTGGGATTCTTTTTTATTGAATGTCTTGGGATTCTTTTTTATTGAATGTCTTGGGATTCTTTTTATTGAATGTCTTGGGATTTTTTTATTGAATGTCTTGGGATTCTTTTATTGAATGTCTTGGGATTCTTTTTTTTGAATGTTGGGATTCTTTTTATTGAATGTCTTGGGATTTTTTTATTGAATGTCTTGGGATTCTTTTATTGAATGTCTGGGATTTTTTATATGAATGTTGGGATTCTTTTTATTGAATGTCTTGGGATTCTTTTTATTGAATGTCTTGGGATTCTTTTTTATTGAATGTCTTGGGATTCTTTTATTGAATGTCTTGGGATTCTTTTATTGAATGTCTTGGGATTCTTTTTATTGAATGTCTTGGGATTCTTTTTTATTGAATGTCTTGGGATTCTTTTTATTGAATGTCTTGGGATTCTTTTTATTGAATGTCTTGGGATTCTTTTTATTGAATGTCTTGGGATTCTTTTATTGAATGTCTTGGGATTCTTTTTTATTGAATGTCTTGGGATTCTTTTTTTATTGAATGTCTTGGGATTCTTTTTTATTGAATGTCTTGGGATTCTTTTTATTGAATGTCTTGGGATTCTTTTTATTGAATGTCTTGGGATTCTTTTTATTGAATGTCTTGGGATTCTTTTTATTGAATGTCTTGGGATTCTTTTTATTGAATGTCTTGGGATTCTTTTTATTGAATGTCTTGGGATTCTTTTTGTTTCAGTGAATGATAAAACAAGCTATGAGTATCATCAAATGAGAAGAGAAGCCATTTCACGTTGGATATCAGAAACTGAGGCAAATGCAATAAATTCTGAAATTGAAAGCAACTCTTTTCAAGTAAGTCAATTTTTTTAAGATATAAAAAAAAATCATATTTTCTAATTGTTAGTCATGTGAAAGTAATTTCATATTCTTTCAAATAAAAAATAGAAGGAAAAGTTTTAGTACAAATGAATAAGAAACATGGAAAGTGCAATATAGATTAAGTTACACAATGATAATAGTTTTATGATAACTCTTTTTAATTTCTTGTCATGAAAGTATGAAATGATAGGTTGAGTCATCAGTAATATCCGTTTTTATGTATATCAACTTTATTTTTTAAAAAAGTAATGTACAATTACATTTTATATATATATATATATATATATATATGTATATAATCCTTTGGCAATGATTTGTTGCCGCTTACCAAGCAGCTACTCTGTACCTTGAGTAAAATTCTACATGTTTTGATGTGAAATATTTTTTGAACAAACTCTTGAATCTGGTTTTCATTAGAGAATCAGCCTCCACCTAAAAACAATTTACAGGGATTGAAAAAGGTGATAGTCAGTTGATGCAAGGTCCAGTGATTATAGTGAACAGACCAATGAAGATCCCAAATTTTTTCCTGTGTTATTCTTTCTGTCTTTGCTTTGTCATGGAAGAGAACAACATTGTCATATGTAGCCCACTTTTCATCACTTATGATTTATTTTGAGGAAGGATTAGCCTAATACATTTATAATTATGATTAGTTCACCAAATCGGGAATTACTTATGACTCAACCTAATAATTCATTTTATTTTCCTTGGAGATCATTTAGGCTACTTTCATTAATTTTTGTTTTCTTATTTTTTCAGAAAGATGGTCATTTGAAGAGCATAATGAGTTACTTAAGTGGGCGGCAGGTTACAGAAGCCTGTGCTTCTGCCCAAAAGGCTGGAGATAATTATTTATCTATGTTGCTTGCTCAAGCAGGTGGAGTGAACAAATCTTGTAAGCAACTCATTGAACAACAGTTAGATAACTTTAATACTTACGGAGTAAGTAATTTTGTTTTCTTTCATTTTTTTTTTTCTCCAGTTACAAGTTTTATTTATAGTTCCTTCTTGGCTACATCAGTTTGACATTAAATATGGCATCCTGATCCACTGGTCAATTTTTTTCTCCAACAGCTCTGCCAACCTCTATATAGATTAAATATGGTAAGTTTCACCTACCAAATGCAGAGATGTACGAAGGCAGACTTGAAACTTTCTAGATGTCTAGAAAGTTCTAGAACTAATCTTGTTACTTGCAACAAGTTTGTTGGGGGTGGTCCTCCTAGCCATTTCTAATTCAAATTCAACACTTGAGGAAAGAGCAGACATCTTTTTAAATATGCTTCCTAGACAAGATAGTAAAGGAAAGTGTAAAGAAAGCACTAACTTTCAATTTAGATATAATGGCCCAACAGGAGGAAAACTGGTTAATATCATTCAATACCTGCGTAACCAAATATTCCATCATCACTGAGCAGACTTTGAATTTTTTCTAGTACTGATGGGCAGTTGTACTCTCATTAAGACCTTTTGCCTTGAATGTCTATTAATCTACTGAGACTAAAGTTCATACTTCAAATGGAATTTGTATATACAATCCATTGCTAAGGATACTGGAAAATGGTCATTCTTTGTACCACTCCTGAAAGCATCTGATTTCCCCTGCCACACCCTATGTTTAAAATGGAGTATTGCTGTGATATCTCGATTGAAAATGCCCAATCCTCATTTTCCAGCCTTGATATTCAAAATCTATGTGGCTTTGTAGGGAATGACTTATTTTCCACTCTGCAGCCACTTTCCTACAATGTTGCAAGTCTATTGCTGTTTCCAAAGCAAGCATTCAGATGAACTCTACTCTGTAGTTCCACCATTTCAGACTGTTATGCTATGTCCATGAAGTTGAACCCCAGGAAATTCCATTCAAACAGCTTCTGCAAACTACTTTGTGGGACTACTCCCACATGAATGCTTCCTTTAATAGAACACTTTTAATCTCTTCAAATCAAGGGCCAATCATTATTTCTCCTGCATATCCTCATTGTTTTCACTTCCTTCCTTCACTTATGTCCATACAATCTCACTCAGTAACCTTTTATCTCTTACTCTTGAGGCCTTAGTGAACAAAAAAAAAAGACAATGTATTGTTGTAAGGACAAGAGACAGCCCAAGATACAAGCTACAAAATGGTGATGTCAAAATCAAGGAAATACAAAAGTTTAAATATCTGAGAAGTGCTGGGTTCTCTAAATTCTTTTTCTTGAGGTTATGGTGCTTGGAAATAATTAGTAGAGGAAAACCAAAATAGGGATAGAGGGGTAACATAATGATGTAGTCACCAACTTATTGAGAGACAGATTAGTTACATTCCATCATCACTGATCAAAACTTGAACTACTGCCAGTCATGATGAATGGATGTCCCTTTAAAGACACACCATGCCTTGAGAGAAACTTGAGCCTTAAACTCACACCCTACATAAAGTGGAATTCATCACTAAAGATGCAGGTAAAATGATCATTTCCCTGTACTGCTCCAGCTATCCTCTAATTTTATAAGAGCAAGATCAGGCCTAAGATGGAGTACTGTTGCCATATTTGGGTGGAAGCGGCCCGGTCCTCACTTTCCAGTCTTGATAGAGTTCAAAAGCGTCTCCAAGTTTTTGTTGGAGAAGAATTACTTTCCACCCTCCAATCTCTCTCTCACAGGCAGGACGTGGCGAATCTCTCATTGCTCTATCGCTACTTCCATGAAAAGTGCTGGGACGAATTACATTTTTGCTTTTGTCAGGTCTAACCTTCACAGCTAGGACCCGTCATGCTCTTACATAGTAGCAAACCACTCACAATCCCTCTGTATTCCATTGGCGAGAAGTAAGTTCTGCACAAACAGCTTCTTCTTGTGAGCCACTGCCCTGTGGAATAGAATCCCAAGAGGATGTTTCCCCGATCACTACAATCTTGACCTGTTCAAGTCTAGAGTTAATTGTTTACCGTTCCCTCCTATCCATATAAACTACTCCTTAATGTAACCCTCTACCTCGAGTGGCTCCCAGGTTTTTGTACAGGATGAACCTTACTATAAAAAAATTTCTTAAAATGGTGGTAAATAAGTCAGGCTAGTTTTTAAATAGCTGCAGACTGAAATGGCAATTAATTGTTCGATTGTCAAAATATATTGCAGTTGGATTATAGCTTCAGATCTTTGGCTCTACTACAAACTTCTTTGCAACAACTTGTGATTGTCATAGTACCTTGAAAGGGGTGTTTAGTGATCATATATCAATATTAGTCTATTCACATCTATTATTACTACTTAGAACCTGACAGATGGACAAAAGGTAAAGGTTCAGTTATAAAGTGAAATCAGGTTAAATTTTTATTAAAAAAAATTTCATTTGCCACGAAAAGTGAATTCAGGTTTGGAATGGCACAAGTGGAATGATAGTTAAGTGGCACGATTCATTTCTTCATGAAAAACTCATTAATTTTTGAAACCTAAAAAATCAATAAGATTTTATTCAGCTTTTTGGAAATCATTCAGTAATAAATAAAAGGTTAAAATATTTTATTTTTTTTTTTTTTTCAAATTTTGTAGAAATATTTTTAAGTCTTTCATTCATTTGAAAGATAATACATACAGACAATTTAAAAAAAATTGAAATGAACATTTGTGCCACAAGGTCTAATTTTCCTTTTCATCTTGGTACAACCTCTGGGTAAATAGGAAATGAGTACAAGTCAAAATGTGTGGTCCTTTGAAGTTGTTTTCATGACTCCTGATTTTAAACTGAACATATTTTTTTATATAAATGCTGTATTTTAAATGAACAAATAATTTAGATTTGAAATTTGATTAACTTGCTGCATGACATTCTTTACTTCAGACCAACTCATAGTGCAACAGAAGGCCTATTTCAAATCTCGTCATTCCATATGGAGTGTGACATTTTAGTTTTGTTTTTTTTTTTTTTTTCTTGTACCTATTTCCCTGCTGTAGTTAAGAAATATTTGCTTTTTACACTTGGAATAGCTTTAGCTTATTTAACTTGAGTATAAGATTTCTTTGTTTCCTTTGGACTTAATGTTATTTTAGATTTATTGCAAAAACATACTTTGTACAAAATTCACTAAAAAATTTAATTTTGGAATTTAATTTAACATTCTTTGCTATGAAATTTTTATTCAAGCAAAATACACTTATGATCAATTTTATTTTGTGTAAATTAGCTTTCTGTTTCTGATAGATGAAAAAAATAGAATTTTTACAACACTCCTATTGTAATGTCATGTAAATTTTACTTACTAAAGAAATAATTTATTAGGTCAATTTTTCTTATCTTCTTCGAAATGTTAAAATGTCTCTCTCAAAGTCAATTTTAATATTTTGTTATGCTTAATTTTTAAGACATTTCTTCCAAAGACTTTTCCTTGATTCTGTTTTACACTGCAAAATTTATTTAAAACTTCCATTATTTGTCCATAAAGTCGATTTAATATTTTTCTCCATGATGTCATCCATAACAAAAATTAAATTTTTTTTATGATTAATTTTTTTTTTTTTTCTTGGAAAAGTATTTTATTCATTTTTTAATTTATTTATTTATATTTTTATTTTTTTTTTAGGTTGGTGAATTTATATCCCATGAACGCTTAAAAATTCTTAGCCTATTGGCAGGAAAGATGGTTCTTAAAATTGGTAACCAAACCATTAATGTATGTGAAGGCATGAACTGGAGAAGAGCACTTGGACTCCATCTTTGGTAATAATATTAATAATAATAATAATGGTGATGAGGCATTTGACTGTTAACACTCTTACCAGACTGGATGTTATGATGGTTATAGTGAAGCTTTGTATATTTGTTCCCCAGCATCACTTTGTTGCTGTGCTCCTCTTTCCCCTCAATAATAATGCTTTAGTAAATTCAGTTTTTTATTTTTTTAAATATAAATCTTTGGACATTACTTGGCTCTCCACTACAATTAAAACCAATTATTGAGAGAAGGGAGTATATTCTGTGAAAATTGTTTTAATGTTGTTAATAGATTAAATTGAAATGCCTTATCTTTTTACTTGAAGTTTCACAGAGGTACCATTCTGCTTGTCAGGTTATAGTAACTCTATTGAATTCAGTAACAAATATCACATTTTGTATTTATCTTAAATATGTTCTATATTTTGGGTTGCAATAAGTTTGTAGCACTTCTAAGCATGATTTTGTTTCACACATGACTGAAGTTTGGCATATATTCTGAAAAGTGGCATTCTTTCTATATAATTCATGTGTGGATTGTGAATTTTAAATGTTTTTATATTAAAAGTGAAAATGGCAGAAAATCAGTTGCATTTTCATCATTTAATGCACTTTTTATTTCTAGAAAGAAAAAAATTATATACGAATAGTAAAAAAAAAAAGATAACGTGCCTTTTTATGAAGGTAGTGCCATAGATGAAATTACTGTTCATAAGTAGTTTGCTAGGTTCAGAAGTGTAAATTTTGATTTGGCAGACAATGTTCTGGCAAGACTGCAGTCGTTAATGCTGATGAAATCAAAATTCTGAATAAAAATAATCCAGGTGATCAGAGTGACATCGCAGACATACTTCACATTTCTTGTATATAAATTGGGAAGCATTTTAAAACATATATGAATCACTACAATGTTTGGGTTCTTCAAGATTTAAGAGGGCGGGGGGACTAAATAAACCACAATTTCTATGTCCAGTTATCTGTTCAGACAAGAATGGACCATTTGGGAAAATTCACAGAAGTTCCTTGATTGAATCTTGTAAGTAAAGAGTGTCTTGATATTGAGGAGGAAATGTGTAACCAATTGCTCTCCCATTAACCGGGGTGGGGGTTAGGCAAAGAGGAGAAAGAGGTGGGAGGCAACCAAAATAACACTGCCTCAGAAGCCACAGCAAGTTTAGGAACAAAATGTCCACAGTAATGACTTTGTACTGGGTCTTGCTGACTGCTAGTTTTCTTGTTGCTTTTATTCGTATGAAGCATCTTACAAAAACTCTAGACATGCCAAGCTGTCCTGCAGCTAATGGAGAAAACCTGGATGTAACTGGTGTTAACAAACATGTCCATATGCGATATGGGGCCTCTTTTGTGTCTATACAGATGCGTGTTCACCACAAATGTATTGATAAATTCCAAGTGGAGCATCTTGAAATTTCACTGCAGTTTTTTTTTTTCTTCTTCAAGATATTACAATTGATTTTGAAAAGATGCTAAATTACTTAGAAATCAACCTAAAGTATTGTAATAAATAATTAGCAAAATTGTTTATTTTTTTTTTTCTTTTAGGTACCAATGTGAGCCAACATCTCTGATTGTGGAAGCTGTGCAAATGTATGATGAAGCCCAGATTGGGAACAATATTCATGGTAAATACGCCAAACCTCCTGTCCCAGTTTATTTGGAAGATGATACTAATGACCTTGATGAGCATTCTAAAATTTATGACACATGTTATCACCTTCTGAAGTTATATGCAAATGATGCTCACAGTCTGGAACAGACCCTATCACCAACGACATCAACAGTAAACCATTTAGATTATCGACTGAGGTAAGAAAAACAATTTCCCTCTTTCTCTTTCCCCTACTTGGGGTTTGGATTTTTGTCAAACTTACAGAATTTTTTGAATGATAAAATTGAAACATCCTCATTTCATCCTTTAAAATTTCTTCAGACAAAATGTTTTTATTGATGGAATCATATATATGTAGATTTGTTTGTACATCCAATTTTGCGATTGCAGAAAACCTTGTCTTTTACCAAAGATTTTTTTTTCACTTGTCATTGGGATGCAGTCATATTATTAAATCAAGCAACTTTGCCCCTGTAATCAGAATGAAGGGTTGCAGAATCACAGATTATATTAACATCTAACATATGTTCCCTCTTTTGCTTCCATCTCTGTCTATCTGGATTTTTGACATCTGTCTATGTCTGTCTGTCTCTCATTTGTTTTGCTTTCACCTCTGGTTGCTGGGTCTTAATGTAATCTGCCTCATTGTGATTCATACTGATGATTCTATGGGATTATTTTTTTCTTCCATATTTTAGATTAGTTATTGTGCATGTATTTATGTCTTGTTCATGATTGTGCCCTGAGGAGTGATAAAGTGATAACCTGTTAGCTTTTTTTTGTTTTGTCTTTCTTATATTTTCAGTTCATCACTTTATAGTGTATATATTTTTTTTTATTTTTGCTCTTCCTTCTCCTTTGATTTAATATATTTGTATATATTATGTGAATATATGTCTTTAAAATTTCCATTTTTATAGCCTTAATAAAATTTTGCTCTATCTACAGATCGTTTTATTTATTGATTAGATTTTTTTAATTTGTTGGTTTATGAAATTAATTTTGCATCCAATCTAATTTCACTATTTTTTTTTAATTTTCTTTTCCTTCCTCACTCTCACCTTTCCCTCTCTTGTATTTTTGCCTCTCACCTATCCCTCTCTTGTATTTTTGCCTCTCACCTCTCCCTCTCTTGTATTTTTGCCTCTCACCTCTCCCTCTCTTGTATTTTTGCCTCTCACCTCTCCCTCTCTTGTATTTTTGCCTCTCACCTCTCCCTCTCTTGTATTTTTGCCTCTCACCTCTCCCTCTCTTGTATTTTTGCCTCTCACCTCTCCCTCTCTTGTATTTTTGCCTCTCCCTCTCTTGTATTTTTGCCTCTCCCTCTCTTGTATTTTTGCCTCTCCCTCTCTTGTATTTTTGCCTCTCCATCTCTTGTATTTTTGCCTCTCCATCTTGTATTTTTTGTCTCTTGTATTTTTGCTCTCCCTCTTGTATTTTTTTTTCCCTCTCCATCTCCCTCTTTGTATTTTTGCCTCTCACCTTTCCATATCTCTCTCTCTATATATATATATATATATATATATATATATATAATTTTTTTTTATATTAAGCTGAATTGTTTTTCTGTCTTGCAGTTGGCATTTATCTGAAGTTCTTGAAAGTCTTGGTTATAGACACTTATCACTGTATCAGAAAGAATGCATCCATGTGAGTTTTGCTGCACAGCTTGAATCGATTGGAATTTGGGAATGGGCCATTTTTGTTTTGGCTCATCTGGAAGACAGTAAAAGGTTAAATTTTACTTTTTTTTTTCATGCAATTAGTCCAAGAAATAATTCTATTCAAATCTACTTTGCATTAGAAGTTAAACAAATTTTTATCGTACCTGTGTTTCAGAAATTTTATGAAATCAACAATATTATTGAAATTCTTTGATCTGGGATCTTGTTTGATTTTTATTTCTTAGCCTTTCACTCGACTCTTTTTGCATATGGCTAACAACATTCATCATAACATGCTTTTCTTTATGAAACTAGCCATTAAATTAATGTTTGTATCTTTATTTATTGTAATCTATATATACACAGATAAAAATGAATTGTTATAAATAAAATTCATGAGTACAGAAATATTCTTTTATACTTTGCATCAATCTTTTGTAAAATATTTGAATTCATTCTTTTTTAAACTGATGTGTTCATCTAAATGTAATATGCTGTTTTTGTTCCATCAAATGGCTGCTAGTATCTTAAATGCCTTAAAACAATTTTTATGAATCACACAAATTTATTAGTTTGTCTTAAATAATTTCCACTCCTTTTTAGCAACTTAATTCTTCAAAATATAAACTTCCACAACATTTTATTCAATTATGTAATCATCATTATTTGCCCCTTATCAGACAGTTTTTTTTTTGTTTTGTTTTGTTTTTGATACCTTTTGAGTAAAATTCCATAGGATTTGATGTGAAAAGTTTTCAGTGAACTCTTGGAAAGTTTTCCCCCCATCAAAGCATTTTTGTAACAATCAAAAAAAGTAATAATCAGTTGGTATAGGGTCAGGTGAATATGGCAGATGGTGGGTAGAACAGACCAAGTGACTTCCAAAATCTTTTCTTGTTTTATTCTTTCTGTAAATAGCTTTTTGTTATGGAGGAGAAAAATATTTTTCCTATTGACAAATCTAAATTTAGAGCTGTTGAACATAACCGGATGCAGCTCATTTTTCATCACCTATTATGATATATTCAAGGAACAGTTAAGAGGAGACATTGATCATTACAATTGGGTCCCAAAAACAGAAATTATGATTCAATCTAATATTTATTTATTTGAAAAAAAAAAAAATCAGCATTATATTTTCTTTCATAATATCTTGATAGAAAAAATAAAATTCTTTTCAATATGATTTTCTTAAATGCGTGTCTGTCTTTTCTTTTTTTTTTCTTTTTTTTTTTTTTGGTCTCCCCCTTTTCCTCTTTGGAGTTGATAGAATTACTGTATCTTTAATTTTTTCTTTGTTTGTTCTTTTCAATATGATTTTTAAAATAAAAAAAATATATTCACAGTATTATTTTTCATTTTTAGAGATAATTTCAATTTTTATCAAGCAATTTCTTAGTTTTAGAAATGTTAATCCATCTCTTGTTGAAAATAGTTAAAGAATCTACTTTTTGAAACAGTGGATGTTTATTTCTCAATTTTGATTTCAGACGAGAAGCTGCTATAAAAGATTGCCTGGGAAGACACATTCGTATTTCCAGCAATGAAGAATATCTTTCACGGGAGCAATTCATTATCAACCGTTTAGGCATCCCACCAAAGTGGGTGCATCATGCAAAGGTAAGCATTAATAAGTTAATAATAGATATTGCATTGTAGTTGTTTCACATATTTTTAGGATTATAAAAATAATCTTGTAAATAAATATGACCCTTCTCACTGGTTGGTCAATACTGTCATTGCTCTGCTAGGTTGTGCTTTTTGAACTTAGAGTTGGCAAAAACTGAGTTGTCGTCAGCATTCGTAGCGTTGGTTTGCACCACAGCAAAACTATGTCAAAGGGGGAAAAAAAAAAAAAAATCAATGTGCTTTGCAGACGAAATAAAAGACAGGAAATTCTTCAGATCAATTTTCTATGTGATTTATATCGTTTGTTGTACAGAAATATTAACACTTCCGACTTTGAATTCTATCGTGACACTTTGCTCATTTTTAGCTAAGTCTGAAACAAGGCTTAAGTCAGGAGTTCTCTTTGGCAATAAGTCAGGTGGGCTTTGGCAGTGTAGTCATCTCTCGTCGTCTGCAACTCATACTAGCTCAGGTCACTTCTGTTTTCTGCTTATATTGACTTTTACTCAAGACTGGCATGGGGCTGACAGTATTTGGAGATTCCGAGCTTTCCAACAAGAGTTCTTTGTTCTCTAGTTTGGGAAAATTAATTATCCTTCAAAATCTGGGAGACGCCTTTTCCATGGGCAAACAAACCAGGTACTGACCCACCCCGATAACTCCTCCTTTTTCTTATTTGTGCCTCATACCATTACCTGTCAATAGACAGAGGCAATCCCTCTGTCTCTCTTGGTATTTCACCTAAGTTTCTCCACTTGATTGTCATCTTGACAAATTCTGTGGGCAAACAGGTTGGACTTACCTTTTGTTCATTAATTGTATTTGTTGTCAGAACATTTTTCTCAGTTTGGGGTTGTGTCTTTATAATCAGAAATTAACTAGCTGCTTCCCTTTTACCATAATCTTCATATCTTAATTTCTCTTAGGCAAATTATAAAATCCTTTCTCTGGAATTGTTTTTAGTCTTTTGATTTTTGATAGCAATCATCAATTTGTTTTTCTCCATTTGCCTTTGCTTTAAAATTACCAAATTTTATCTCTTAGTTGGTGTTTTCGTAACTGGCACTTTTGGTAGACAGTCATTAATTAATTTTTTCTGTTTCCTTTCCAAAATTCTCAACTATCTTGAAGTATATTTTCTCTATTTCCCCCTCCAACCTTACATTTTCCAGATAGCTGTCTTTTTCTCAGCACTATCAATGCAGTCTTAGCTCGTCGTCTGGGTTTTAAATTACATTTTAACTTAACCTTTTTTTTTCATTCTGTTCAAAGCTCATATTCCAACTTAGCCTTTTTTAATTTACTAGTGTCACACTGTGTTACAAAATAATCTAACAGCTAAATAATATGTAACATTTTTTGTTGTTAAAATTCTAAACAGCTTTTTAAACCAATAAAAATTGCCAAGGGAGTATACTGTCCCTTTGACACTTTTTTTTTTTTTTTGTGGGTTGGGAAGTGGCTGAAGGTTAAAATTTGCCAATAAAAAATTATCAACAGCATAATTGTCCATCAAACTTTTTCTTTACATGTATGTATAACTATGAAATAAAATAACAATAATTAGTTTATCTGTTTTTTACTTACAGTTAAATATCTTTAGTATCTTATTGATAATTATTTCTATTTGTTGATATCAGTCTATTCACACACACACACACGCACACACACACAATCTCAATTTAGTACAATCTATTTATTGGTTCCTAGAACATAACAGCATAGTAACATCAATGTAAATATCCAGGTTATTATTTATAATGATAAAGTGAATTTAGGATTTAAAAAAAAAAAAAAAAAAGTAATAACCACAAAAAGAAAATTCAGGTGAAAATGACACAACCAATTTTTGTGAATAAACTGTTAATATTTAAAACATTAAAAAAATCAGACAATTATCAGATCTTATACTTTTTGGTAAAAAAAATAAAATTATTTTTTAATGTTTTTTTTTTTTAAATTTTCTAGAAATGATTTTAGGTCTGTCATAGAATTAAAATATACATGCTCTCAGTTTGAATGACAACATGTGTTGGTAGAGTTAATCTCCCTTTTTTTTTTCTAGCAACAACCACAGTTCCCACACATTCTGGAAAACCTGGAAAATAAAATGTAAATTTTTCAGGACTGGAAATGTTTGTATTTTATCCCAGAAAATTTAAATTATCTAAGAACCTCACTCTCAAATCACAAAATTAATGTTATAGTTACCAAATATACTCTGGATTATTTTAAACATAACTTTAGTTTGATATTTTACATTAAAACTGTCGCATGCATTGGCCTTCTCAGTTTTCCTGTATGCCTGTGAATCTTAGACATTAACAGCGCGGAATTACAGTGAAGAGTCCAAGCATTAGAAATGAGGTGATGCAGAAACCATTCTAGATAATCACAAATGTCGCAATGCAAGATACTTGAGACAGAGGGTTCTTAGTTTCACAACACTCTAAACCTATAGATTAAATAAAGTATTCAGTTTGAAATAACCTGAAGCTTACCTGCATCAACAAGCACCTTACAAAGTCAAGGACAATAATCTGAATGTAAGTAGTATAAATAAAAACTGATTATTACTTTACAAAGGGATTAAATTTCATAACTTTTTTTTTTTTTTTTTGCTAATGTCCATCAGTTTTTCATTTGTATTTCTTCAAATTATTACATTTTTCTTTTTCCACTTTATTAGGCAATCAAGGCTGGTTACCAGATTATGCCCCCAGAGGAAGCCTGGCATTTACTAAAATCACACAATTGGAACAAGGCGCATAAAGTTATACTTCGACATCTGGCTGCTGATGCAATCATTAATGGTAAATAAGTATTTTCTTATAGCATTTCTATTTAATTATTGCTAGCATCACAGCTGTTTAAAACCCTTGTTTTTGTCATATAGGAAAATCCAACATGGCGCGTAAACGAAATATGCGGCAAAAAATCTCATTCGTCAGTAACATTTTAAACACCTCATAGAATGTAAAGTTCTTAAAGAAAACCTATGTCAAAGTGTTTTCCTGAATCCTTGATGACTTGGCTGTCCGAAAATGATAATATCAAGATGAAATAATGGAAACTGACCGTGAAAAATACAATTATGCGCAACAGGTTTTCGATCAATTAGTAAACTTCTGGACCTTTTAGGGCGACCTTATAGGATCCAGACGGCTATTTTTGCACATGGAATTATTCACTGGTAATTAATCTTCGATTTGGCTGTGGAAAATGTCACTCGGCGGTTAGCATTAAGAAATTATGCACAATTTTCTGAGAAAAATCCCCTTTTTTTAATGAAAAAATATTCATTTTCGCTTCAAAATAACATCATTCAAAATTCATTCCTTTCTCTTTCATTTGGCATGAACATCATTGAATAAAAAGAAAGGCTAAATGGACCGGCGATGGGAAATACAAAAGATATGTCGAAAAAAAAAAAACAATGTTGTCTGCTAAGTGTTGTTGTCATCACCGGGTCACGGGTGTTAAAAACAAAACAAAACTTATCAAGCCATTGTTCAAACATAGGTTATATCAAGCCCTAGTAATTGTGAACCTTTTTTATTCACCCTTTGCTTTTTTATCTGGGAGTGGTGGGTTTTATTACAACTTGTTCTAAGGTTTGCCGTCCGTTTATTGCTTGCTGGCTGGCTGGCTGGCTGGCCTTTGACCTGAGACGTCAAAGTCAATTAGGTTTATTTTCCTTATCACTATTTTTAGAAAAAAAAAAAAAAAACTTTTGGTTTCTGGTGGTTAGGAATTGCAGATAAATCTCTTGCCTTTTACTAAAGATTTCCGTGGCCAGGTGTCAATTTTTTTTAACCCTTGGCAGTCATAATTGAAAATTAACAATGATTTTTCGCATTTTTTGAACCCCTAGGAATGTTGATTTCCTTCAAAACTCTCAATTTTATGCCTGAAATAGTTTGATTATGATCTAGGCTTTCTGATTTTCAAAAAAAAAATGGTTAATTTTCCATTAATGGGGGAAATATTTGTTTAGAACAAGAAAAAAAATGCAAAATTTTCACTATTTTTTCACATTTTTACCCACTGAAAAAAAATTTTTGAGTCATTTACACCAGCTAATTTTACTTTTAAATGAAAGAATATATCTTTTGCTTTCAGAAAATACCTAGTTTCATGGGGTTCAGATCAAAAGTTTTGATATTCGTTTAGGTGATGATAAAACAGTCATTTTCAATATTTTACCCCTAAAAAAAAGTATGAAAACCCATATTTTGAGAGAAAATAAGCTGTGACAAAATGATTTTTGCTATTTTTTGTGATGATTTTCACTTGGGAAAGAAAATTTTTACCATAGGAAACCTGAATTGACTTTATTTAAGTTCAGTGGGTCTGTAGGAAACCTCAAACAGCTGTGGCATATGAATTCAAAAATACATCCTAAAGATTCATTGAAGTTATTGGTAATGCACCCTGGTTTTCTTATGAGTTTCTGGTTTTACACATATTCACTTCACCAGTAACTTGATCTGCTTTGTAGAAAGCTGGACCTCGCCTCAATCACGACACTATAAAAAGGCATGTTCAGTAAGGAGCATTTTAACCCACTGTTAGTAATGTAGGCCATTGTTAGTATCAGGAGGTTTTGAAAATCTTTAAAATATTATAGATATGTCATATTTTCTTTTATATGTTGCCTTAAGTGTTCTTTCTAGTGTTTATAGAATAAATAAAAATAAAAAAAAATGTCCTCTTTTGAATAATTGGAGTAAAGGCCAATATTAAAAATCAAATTTGTAAGTTTGAAAATTTCAAATATTTAAAAAAAAAAAAAAAAGGTTTTTTTGTCTTATTTTAGTATGATCTTTTGAAACAACAACAGTAATTCATACAAATATAAAAATAACCAAAAATTTAATCTAGTTGTTCCACAGAAGTAAAGCTCCTTAACTGCCTATGAAAGTTTGACTTGTCACTTGATAAATATGAAGCAAAATAGGTGTGTTTTCAATTTGAACAGTGGCTGTCTTTTTCATTGAAGTGTAGATTGTGCCAACAGGCTAGAGAGAAGCTCTTAATGACAGTTTCAGAGCAGCAGTTGAAAATCAGATAGTCAAGTGGCTCTGACTTCTTAACCACAGTTTTAATGAAGATGAAATATTCTTGATTTGTTTCTACAGTGCGTGTCACCTACTAAAACATCAAATTATATATATATATATATATATTAGTGCAATTTGTGTACATATCAATCAGCACACTATTTACATTATTCAGACTATTGTCCTCATCTTTATCGCCATATTTATTACAACGTTTCAGCTGTTGTATGCTCCGACCTTCTTCAGGTGGTTGGAATGTCGAACTGAACCCTTTATTTACGCTATCTCTTGCAGCTGCGGAAAGAAATATAAAGGGGAGACAGGCCGCCCCCTTAAGGTAAGGCTTCAAGAACACTAGAAAGCTGTAACACGAGGGGAAGTGGAAAAAACTGGGTGTGGCTGACCACATATGGAGAGAAAAGGGAGATTACTGCCTTCGGTGGGATCAGGTTGAAATCATAGACAAAGAACACCATTGGAAAATTCGTAAACTTAAGGAATCAGCACATATGCTAGGCCACAAAAATCTCCTGAGCCGACCAAGCATAGAAATGTCTACAATATGGGAACCAGTAATAAGGAGTGCCAGAGAAAAGTGATAATAACAACAAAAATTGCAATATGAACTCTGGTAAAAAAAAAAAAAAAAAAAATGTATTGATAACAGCAAAAAAATTGCAATATTAGCACTGGTAAAAATGGTTACTGAAGACATTAGGTTTATAATACCCAGAAATTCATATACAGATGTCCTCAAGGACACATGGCACAGTGGATAAAGGCATTGGTTAGATCCAGTGACAGGACCCAAAGCGTGTGAGTGGAGAACTTGGAGAGGGAAATTAACAGGAGATAACTGATAACTGACATCCATTTAAAAACATGACACATGGAACTAGAACAGTCTACCCCAGTGAGCGAAATAAAGGGTTCAGTTCAACATTCCAACCATCTGAAGAAGGCCAGAGCATACAACAGGCAAAACATTGTAATAAATATGGCGAAAAAGATTAGGACAATAGTCCGAATAATGTAAATAGTGTACATAATACCTCATCTCAGAAATATAGACAGATCAATCAGCAGTACAATTAACATAAAACTAATTTTAATAGATAATCCCCAAATATGATACAGGACTCCTTGCAAAAAATGACTCTGAATTCTAGAAACTGTTATAATACAAAAGAAACAACCCACCTTTAGTAAAATATCTTTCTCCATAGATCATATATTAAAGTGTGTATAAAAAGAGTATATATAGAGATTCGATTTGCCATCTAACCATTACAAATGGCATCACTTTGAACCGATTCCAACTCTAATTCCAGAAATCTAATAATGACAGAATTTAGTCCTCTTGTTTACCATATTGATAACACCCATTCTTGACAATGACTGATAGTCAAAACAAAAAAAGTGAATTTCAATTCCAGTGTGCAGTATTTCATTTGAAAATTGGGTAAAAATAACAAAGTTGAATTTAATAAAACTTGTTTGGCAATATCTATCAAACATACATTGACATTTTGAATCCTAACACATCTTTTGTAAAGTTATTTTAAGATTTATTCTGTATAATTGATTATTTTCTACTTACAATTTAAACCATTGTTTTAATAATAATAATGTTATATTTGTCAACAATCAGTTTACTCCAACATTCAATAGCAAAAAAAAAACAAAAAACACTTAATTCATCACCTCTAGCACCAAACTATGCAGGTAACTCCATGTGTAGTGGTTCCAAAAATTCTCACTAGTGTGGAGTTGGTAGCATGGTCACAGAGATTCTTCCATTGTTCCAAGTTTAGAAAGTGCTAGAGAGAAAGATCTCTCTTGTCCATAGTCATTAAAATAATTTGTGAAGAAGACCAGCATTTTGTCTATAATTTTTAAGATGAAAGTGTTCTGCAGACAAAAAATTTTTTTTTCTTCACTCTACCAAGCTGAAATTAAAATACCATAAGCTTAAAAAATAATTTATAGTTGGTTTCATATAAACACAAGTCTTTTGCATGCCCACTAGACAATACAACTTTTACATATTACTACTGCCAGCTTGCAAGATGTTTTAATGTTCTCTCAACAGATTTGCCAAGTGATCAAGCCACATATGTTATATTTGGTATTGTGACTGGCCAGTTAGCATTTAGTTTGTATATTACACACACACACAGTGGAAGTGTTAATGATATTTTCTTTTGCTTTCTATTGGATTTTTTTCAAACAAGTTTATCATCATTTTGTTAACATTAATGTGTTTATTATGAAAGAATTTTCTTTCTTGCAGAGAATCATAATTATTTAGAAAAGTACTTATTAGAACTGGCTCCAGCTGAAAGAAACAGTAAAATTTTAGACTGGACAACAGGAGGTGCTGTGTATCTCAATTATATCAACTTATGCAAAACTCTACAGGAACTGAAAAAGGTTTTCATTTCTTATATTACATTTTTTTTATGATTTGTTTTTTGATAGTTTTTCATTTATAGATTAAAAAGAAATATAAATTTTTAAGATTTTAAACAAAAATTTCAACATTTACACAAATTTTCTGTTACATGTTAATTTGTAAATCTGTTAAATTTATATTCATTTGATGTTACTAATATTCTTAAATGGATGCAAAAATGTAAAAAAATAAACATTCTTTAATTTTTTTTTTTTTTTTTTTTTTTTTTTTTTTTTTTGCTTCTAGCAAAAGAATTAGAATGAATTAAATTATGCAGTATTTTCAAGACATTCTTATATTTTCTTAATTTCGTTTTTAATATTTTTCATTTTTTTTTTTATTTTTTTATTTTTATTTTTTTTTACTTCCAGCAAGAAGCAACTATTTCACAACTTGAAAAATTATGGCCAGAAGTTACAAGCCTTTGTTCAAAAATAAACCACCTCTCTTCTTGTAATCCCAAAGACAGGTAAATTATCATTCGTAAAATATTTTGACACATGCATCATAAGTCCAGCTTTGTCTTATCTCCTACCCCCACCAATTTTGCCTAAACAAATAGCTTTTGCCTGAATTTAAATACTTTTCATGTCAACAAACTAACAAATAATATTTTAAATATCATAAATTATTTAGATTATTTATATTTGGACTGTTGTCCTCATCTTTATTGTCCTATCCACAATGTTTTGCCATTGACTTATGACTTCACCAAAAGAGTTGCATGTTCAGTACCTGGCCACAGTAGAGGTGAACAAAAACTTGAAGAGTTGAGCTATTAAAGAGAGTTAACAGAAACTAAGACATCCAGAAAAGGCATGGCATGTGGAACGATGACAATCTAGAAATGTCTAAAGATTTCGGTTCAAAATTCCAGTGCATATCACTTGAAAAAGTCAGAGCGTAGAATGGCTGAAACATTGTGGATATGACAATAAAGATAGGGACAACATTTTGAATAATGAAAATAGTTACAATACCTCATCTCGGAGATATAGACATAATAAATTATATCAAGTAAAACAGTAAATTGTTAAAAATTATATTTCCTTTCTGTTACAAATTTTTATTGACAACTTAAATAATTTCTGTTTATCAACTTTATTCTTAAAAAAAAAAAAAAAATTAGATTTTATTCAATGATATATTCACCATTATTTGCAGTGACTCATTGCTGCTTATCAGGCTGTTCTTCAATACCTTTTTTTAGTAAAATTGCACAGATTTTGAAGTGAAAAAGTTTTTGAAAAAATCTTGAGTCTGATTTTCATTAGAGAAAAGTTTTCTCCCACTAAAGCATTTTGCAGCAATTGAAAATGATAATTAGTTGGTGCAAGGCCATGTGAATATGGCAGATGGGGTAGAACAAACCAACCAGATTCTAAAATGTTTTTTGTATTTTTTTCTGTATGCTACCATACAGTGCTATTGATGTGAGCAACATTTTTTCCTGTTGATGAGCGCATGGCAATTTTTGCCTATTGCTTTTATGGATACATTGCAGCTATGTCTATTTAGTGTGAAATTGTGTTTTAAGAATTTTATGAATAATACCCCAGCAATCCCACCACATGCACAATATTACATATTCTTCCGTGGAGCTCAGCTCTTGGAGTCTGTTGTGGAGATTTATCCTTGTCAATCCATTGCCTTTTGCATTGAACATTGTTGTATGCAACCCATTTTTCATCACCTGTTATGATATATTTAAGGGGCAGTTAGGATGATACATTCATCATTAGATTTGGTTCTCAAAAATGGAAATTACTTTCTGTTCATGTTCATATTGCATGCTTATTCAATAAGAAATAGTTATGGTAAAAAATCATCCAATTTTATTTGTTTATAACACTAAATTTGTATTTCCCAACATTTAAAAACTATTTTATTTTCCTTATTTTTATATTTTAGATTATGTCAAAGTGAAATGTCTAAAAATGCAGCAAATATTTTAAGAACACTTCTAATGTTAAAAGCTCAAAATGATGTTAACACTGAAATAACAAGGTAATTATTATTTATTTTTTTATTTAAAACACACATTGTTTTTGTCTGGGTGAATTAAAGACATATTTTTAAAGGTATTGAATATGAAATATAAAGATTACAGAATGAGAAAGAGTATAAACAAAAACCTTAGACAAAATATAAATTTTGATTTAACCTGCTTTATAGCCATGAAATAAAAACAAAACTAGCTAGATGTTCTTTAATTGAAAAAAAATTCTCTAAAAGTAGTAATTTATCAAAAATTATCAATAAAATATTATAGGAAATTACAATTGCATGGAAAACTTGGAAAAAATTATGAAGAAACCTAACAAACAAATAATTAACATTAACAATATGATAATAATATGAATAGTAAACAATGTTTGACATAACTTTTGCAATATTTTTCAACAGTTAAAAGAAGAGTGTGATTAAAGAAAAGAAAGTGTCTGACAATGTTAAACAACAGAATATCCATCTTCAAATTATATTTTAAAAATTTTTTCAAATATAAAATCTACAAATCTACAAAAAGGTATGTCTTTGTAGAAACATTGTCTTGTCTTGAAAAATAAAAAAATATTGTAATGAATGCATCAAAACAAATGAAACACAACCAACATGAAGGCATCCAATTGAAACATGCAAAATATGATGGATATATTGAAAATCTTGAATTTTCTGTTAGTTGATTAGTTACTAAGAGGAAATAATCAAATCATATTTTTTACTTGAAAAGACCTTTTTAATTATAACTTAAGACATTTTTTTGAAATATTGTTTAACATTGTCAAACATTTCTTTTCTTAAACTGCACTCTTTTCTTAATTGTTAATCTCAATAGTATCAGTAATAATAATAACTATTATTTTATGCAGTTGTAGAAATAAAACAATTCTTTTGAAAATAAATGCTCAATCAATAATATAGTACATAAAGTTACAGTAACAATATTAATATAGAAGAAAACTTTATATAGGAACAACACAAAAAATCTCTAAAAAAAAAAAAAAAAAAAAAGAAAAAGTATTATAATCATAAAATATCTTTCAAGAGAAAAAGGTATTCTCATAACACTTTCAAAATATTTGGGAACAAAAAGAAAAAACATCAACATTAAATTGTAAGAAGCGTGCATCACAGTATTAATAGCTGAAATTGCCAATTATTCTTCGAATAAAATTTCTCAATCAGTTTTAAAAAAATCAAAATAAGAGAATGAATTCTTAGGCAAATGCAGGCATGAACACATACCTACTTCATTGCATAAAACTAAATTAAAAGCACATAATTTATTTTTTTAAATGGATGTTTTTATTTTCTTTTAGTCTTACAATAAACATTTTTTTCAGATAATGTTTATTTGTTTAGATAAAAAATCTATTTAAAGGTAACTTTGCTTATATTGTGAGTAAAAACCAAGTCTTGCATATATAGACTTTGAGAAGTCCTATTGAGAGATGTTCATTCCTTAAATAGGTAATTGAGATTTGCCCACTAGAAATAACATTGTAACTAATATATATAAATAAATAAATTTTGCAAATTATGTGCTGAGGAGAAATTAGCCATAGCTTTATATGATCAACCCAACCAACTATTAAACTCTAAAACTGAAATTCTCAATGTATGTAGACATAAAAAATCTTGGCTACTAAATTAGACGTTTTCCCGTTATTGACTTTCCACTGAGGTTTTTTTTTTTTTTTTTTTTTTGTTGAATAAATATTCCCCCCCACTTAAGTTGTTTTAGTTTTTTGTTTTTATTTTGTCACGTGGTATGATTTTAGCTATCACCTATAAATATGTGTGTTTCTCTTTGCCTCGTTAGCCAAACTTTCCCTGACGATCCGTTTAGGTGAAACCTAGGTAGGTTTGTCTGGCTCACTAGGTGTATCTAGGTCTGCTCTACGGTTGTATTGAGCTCTTTTTGTTAGTTAGTTGTTACTCGTATATCGGGTTTTTTCTTTGGACTTCAGACCTGCATCTGTGCGATTTTTTTGTCGGCAGAAGTCCATGTTTGTAGCTCTTTCTTTTTTTAAAACCTTTTTTTCCCTCGAGATTGATTTGATTAGCAAATCAAAATTTGAGGGTTTTTCGAAACGAGTCTAGTTATCTATATTTATATATATATATATATATATATATATATATATATATATATATATATATATATATATATATATAACTAATGAAAATGTAAATACTATAACTTATATAAAAAAAAAAGTCTTTCTAATAAGCAGTTTCAAAAATTCTTACTTATTCAATAGCATCTATGGAAGGTGTTTTATAAGCCAGAGTTTAGACTGACAATGGTTCTATGGAGCTTAAGAGGCTGAGCCCATTAAGAACTGTCGGGGAGATAAACATGTTGCTGCTATCCAGAACCTACCAAGTTATGAGGAAAGAAATTAATCTAACAGCAACAGAACAATAACAAATATAACACAAGGCCTTCAAATAAGCTAGTCATTACTTAATGTCTTAAGGGAAACTAATGTCTATAATTTCTGAAAATAAATTTTACAATCCTGCACGAAACTGAGTAGATTCAAGTGAATATTTTAATTTAAAACACACACACACACACACACACACACATATATATATATATATATATATATATATATATATATATATATATATATATATATATATATATATATATAAATTTGTAATAAATAAAACTGGAAAAGTTTATTCATGACTTGTTTCATCTGTTAGGATTTCATCAGACTGGGCTTTGTTGACATTGCCATGTCTACACATGCACATGAAACAAGAGACACGGGTAGTTCCAAATTTTTTGAAAGAATTTTTTTTTTTTTTTTTTTTTTGTTATTGTTTTGGTAAAATGTTTTGGAATTTCTAGAGTCTACTTCTTTCCAAAACATTTTATCTAAACAATCAAATTACTTCCGATATCTTGATGATGCTCTATTAATATATCCTCATGATATTAACTTACTGGATCTTGTAGATAAATTAAACTGAACACACAATAGAATTCACATACGAAATGGAAAAAAAAACAATACTTTACTTTTCTTAGACATCATATTACACCAAGTTGACAACGGCCAAGAACTTAGTGTCCACTGAAAATCAACTAATAAAAATGACTTAAGAAACTTCTATTCTCATCATAACAACAAAATAAAATCTGGAATGATCAATGCAGAACTCATAAAATATTCCAAAATAGAAGAGCTGTCCTTACTGACAAACCAAATGAATCAAAAACATTATTCTACCAATTTACTCTATCACAACTACAACTGAAAAGAATTTATCTAAACTCAACATAAAATTTGTCACAACTACATCTTAAACAATCAAAGATTTAATCAATAAAAAACAAAACAACCAACCAAAACTTTGAGGAATTTACTATCAAATGCAGGAATTACCAGAATGGATACATTGGAGAAACCTCAAGAAGTTTAAACAAAACTATAGGAACACAAAATCATAACAAAACTGACCACAATTTTGTCATAGGGAATGCTATTTTGATTAAAAGAGAAAATAATCCACTGAGACAAAAATGGCTGGAAAGTGCTGTGATCACTAGTTCAGACACAATAAATTTGTGTCCAGGCTCTCACAATATATCACCATTCCTGGTAGATTTTATATTGTCACAGTATGGGATAATCAGGTACAAAGGTGATAGCAAGAAAAAGAATACAGATGAATTTGGCTAGATTGGGGGGAAAAAAATATTCTTTCAAAAAATTTTGAAACTACCTGCATCTCTCAATCCATATATGCATATGTAGACATGGCAACATCAACAAAGCCCAGTCCGATGAAATCCTAACAGATGAAACGTATATCAAATCCGTAAGTGGAAAGGATAATCCAACTGGTTCTTTTTAATATGTTGAAATAAATCATGATTTATAATCATGTTTTTAGAGAATTAAGTTTTGCCTGTTTTTATTCGTTATATATATATATATATATATATATATATATATATATTTATATATATATAGGAAATTCTGTACAAAAACTTGTTCTATAGAGGAAATAAGATTTGATGAAACACCTAATATTTATTTGTATTTATATGTAATATTTATAATGTATTTTTACAAAGTATTAAAGTTAAAAATGTGTTACTTACAAGTGGGTTTTCAGAAAAAAATTGTACTTTTTTCTTTTTTTTACTTATATTTTAACTTTAACTGGTTTTGCTTTTAGCTTTTCGAAAAGTTTGTAACTTGATATTTTCACACGTTGACTCTTTAGTTTTGAACAAATGAAAAAAAAAAAAAATCATAGCAACATATAAAACCAATTTGCCCTTTGATTTTTTTTCATTTGTTCAAACTTTGGATGTACATAAACAATTCTGGACAAAGCTAATACCACCCCAGAAAAAAACAACCGCAAAGAAAGTACATATAACAACAGAGCAACAGATAGAAACTACAACTTCGGAGAAAACAGACCATGAAATTGGAACTCCAGAAACAACCCGAGACCGAACCAAAGCAACAGATAACAACCAAGTACCAGGGACAGAACAACAGATACAATATAAAAATGCACAATAATAAAAAATACCAACATTAGAAACAATATAGAGGAATCCCAGCCAAATAACCATTTTTTAGAGAGAAACCAGAAGTACATGGACATGGGATGGTCCACAACTGCGAGAAACTAAAAGTAATAAACTTTTCACAAAAATCATTAACACCCACACAAATAGACATCCTATGTAAAGGACTAAAATTTACAGCAACACTCTAAAAACCAAATGTAGAAGAAATGAAAGATGTTTCAGAATTCTGTAGAAGACTAAGGCTAGCAGAAAAATTTTTTGAAGAAGAAAACAATGATAAATCACTAGTTAAAAAAAAAAAAAAAAAAAGTTTATCAACCCCCAAAAGGCAAAAATGCAGCCCGTGATGAATTCTGTAATTACATCTCTAGCTTCCCTTTTGACAAACTGGAAATGCCCTAAACCAAAAATCCAACTTCACCAACAATGGAACCAA